TGATAGATGAAATGGATTGTGTAATTCTATTTAAGTAATTTTGCCCCACTTTGGACTGCAGTGCTCTTATCTGGGCCTACATTGGCATTCATAAGAAATCTGATTTAAAACCTTTTTGTTTAAATGAATGCTTTCAAGTTGAATTGAGTTTTGCCCAATTTTTAGCATTGTCAATCATTTCTCATTTGATAGCACATTCAATGTACTTTTGCTGCCACTGTAAAGATGGCGGACTAATCTAAATAGCGAGAACAGTTTTCCAAAATCTCAAAGTTGCCAGTGCTTAACATTTCAATGGAAGGCAAGTGATGCAAATTTATTTTGCTATTTTGTGCTCATGCGCAGTTGTCTGGATCTACCCACCCCAACCTTGCTTCCTACAAGTATAACACTTCATGTCTGCTCATTTTGAGAATTAATTGATTACCAACCCTTTTAAGAGCTTGGGGCAGTAAGGTTTGTAAATGACTTGTGCTTAGGGAGATTTCTTGAGATGATTTCCAGGCAAATTAATATGCATTGAAATTTTAACCTAGGTGTGATTGAAGTAACTTCATATGGTGGGGTGTTACCACTAGACAACGCTAACCCTGTGTCTGAAAAAAATTGCTCCAAATTTCTCCAATTATTTTAAATCTGTCACCTCTGACTTCCAACCCACTTAGCAGAAGAAATGGTTTCCCCCACCTTACTGATCAAAAATACTCATAATTTTGAATACCTCTTTTCAGTCTCCCCTTAACTTTCACTGCTGTAAGCTGAACAACCTAGGTTTTCCAAAATCTGCTAACAAATGAAGTGCCTCTTCTTTGATTATCTCCTTAAAGGACTTGACATTCTTTCTGAAATCTAGTGGCCAGAATTGGACACACACTTCAATTCCGGGCTAACTAGTGGACAATATGCAACATAAGCGTATGTTTCTGAAAAGAAATGATTTTTCTCTGACTGGATAGGGGAGCTATAGGCTTGTGAAAATGGGAGATAAAGGTATTAGCATTTCTAACATGTGGATGGGTTGATTAAATAGTACTTCCTCATTACAAATGCAAGGCATGAGTCTTCATCTAGATGATAACATAAAGTGCAGACTTTTGACATAAAACCTGCAAGCCTTTTATTTGGAAACTGATGTTTATAAGATATGCACTGTGAAGCCTGGATTTTTATTGCTGGTATCCTGGCATTGGAATTTAATTCCATTCCCTACTTTGAATAATTCCGCAGGTGTGCTCCTATAGCAAAACCTCTTTCATATTTTTGCAAAGAAACCCTCTTTCCTGCTGTTATCACACTTGAGCATGGACCTGTCATATTATAAAGTTGATCTTTCTCTAAATGTTCTCTGTAGCTGTAACACTATATTCTGGATTTGTTCTATTACCCTGATGTACTTATGTAAGGTATGATTTGTCTGAATAGCAAGCAAAACGATACAGTGAGAAGTATTTCGGTACGTGTGTCAATAATAAATCAAATCAAATGAAAACCTATTCCCTTGGATTTGCTAAAAGAGCTTTTTACTCATCGGGTTCTTGTTATTTGGAATCTGACTGAAAAATACTGAATAACTGGAAAAAACGCAGTTGAAAAGAAAATTTAAGTGAGCTTAGTTTCTCAAGAAACACTGCGCTTTACGATGGAATCCTACAGCACAGAAGAAGACAGTTTGTCCTCTCATACCTAAGCTGGCTTTAAAAAAAAACTACATTAGTCCCATTCTCCAGCCTTCTCCCCAGATGCAAAGTTTTCCCCTATAAAATAGTTACCCAACTCCCTTGACCGCTACTTGTGATTCTTTTTCCACCACCCATTCAGTTAGTATGTTCCAGATCAGCATAACTAGCAAATTTAAAATAAACAAAAATTCCCCAAGCTCTCTTCTGGTTATTTTTCCCATTACCTTAAATGCGTATCTTCTAGTACCAGTTCTCCTGCTTTTTTTAGAAATGGTTTCTTGCTGCACCTTGTATCAAAACCCCTCATAGTTTTGTAAATGATTGTTAACAGTATTGACCTATCCACATTCAGCTAATTTTGCAGTAGGGTGAAGCTGTTGCTATTTTTTTTGGCTGGTGTCAATGTGATGATCTTGAACTGCTCCACACCACTGTGAAACAGCATATGATTTTTCCTTGGCAACTGAACAAAACTCTGATCAGAATAAAGTTAAATCTATTTTTAAAAAAATCACTGGAGCTTGGTTGCAGTAGCAGATTTCTTCAGTCTCCTTCACGTTAGTTGAAATCATTAAGAGCATTATCTGTTCGGGTAGTTGCCGTTGTGAAACAATATATTCCACGTTGTCAGTAGAGACGGTGGAATAGTGTTAATTACATGACTTTTTTTCTTTATATTTCATGTGGGTGGGCATTACTGGCACAGCGGCATTTGTTGCCCATTCCCAAATGCTCTTGAACTCGGGCTTGTTTGGCCATTTCAGAGGACGGTCAAGAATGAACCACACCACTATGCGTGTGGAGTCCCATGTAAAACAGCAGATTTCCTTTACTAAATAACATGAGGGAACTAGGTGGGTTTTTACTTTCATGGTCACCATTTCTGAGACTAGCTTTATGGAGGTATTTTTAATCAACCTGTTGAGAGAGGTTATTACATACCTGTAGAGCAGGTGAGACTTGAACACAAGCCTTTAGATTAGAGATAGAAACACTGCCACTGCACCCAAGAGCCCCTTGAAACTAACTTTATATTCCAGAGTTGTTAATTGAATTTACCAGCTGTAACATTGTCTCCCCTTTGTCACTGGGCTAGTATTCCAGAGGCCGGACTAATGTTCTGGGGACGTTGGTTGAAATCCGACCATGACAACTGGTAGAATTTAAAGTTCAATTAATTAAAAAGGAAATCAGAAAGGCAGTGTGAATAAAGTAACTGTGAAACTACTGGATTGACATAAAATCACATCTTGTTCACTGATGTCCTTTCCAAAGGAAATCTGTTGTCTTTACCTGGCCTTATCTACAGTTGACTCCAGACCCACAGCAATATGGTTGGCTCTTAACTGCTCTCTGGGAAAATAACGAAGGGCAACAAATTTTGGCCTATCAGCCATAGCTCACATGTCACTAGTAAATTTAAGAAAAATGTTCAACCCCTCCAGCGTTGTCCACTGACTTAAACACAGCATCCCCACCTGGTCCAGTTCTTTATATTACACTGCTAAATGTGATTATCATAAATTAACTTTTTTTAAATTGTAAGGAGGTTTAGATTCCAACTCTGTTTGTTATTGTTCCCTCCTCTTTTGCTATGTTGAGAGTTCCAAGTCCCACTCCAGAACTTGGAATGCATAATCTAGACTGGCATTCCAGTGCAGTACTGAGTGAGTGCTGCACAATTAATTGTGCCATCTTGCAGATAAAACTCTCTCTTTTTTCAGGTGGCTGTAAAAGATCCCGTAGTACTATTTCGATGAAGAGCTGCGAGTTCATCCTGATAGATTTTTAATCAGCCTGTTCAAATCTATTATGACTGGAAGTGTGGTAGAGGGAGGTTCGATTGAGGCATTCAAGAGACCATTTGGCTGATGATTTTGCTTTTTAATAAAAAAAAAAGTGTAAGGTGAAATAACTCTACTGAGGCCAGTATCTCGTCACCAAGTCACTTTTTACTTTGACGTGGGGAGTCCTTGACACTGATCCAGCTTCCTCAGAGTCGGCTCTCAAAGTGAACAGAACCTGTGGCACCCCTGTTTATAACTATCAGCCAGGGCTCCCTGATTAGCACCAGCCCCAATCAGGAAACTCATATTCTATGATGTCCACCTGGCAAAATGTTACAATCGCTACACAAGGATATGGGGCAAAAGCAAGAAATTGGCACGAGCTAATGATTCCCATTTAATGAGCTGGGATAGGCACAATGGGCTGAATAGCCTCCTTGTGCACTGTAAAACTTCTGTGATTCTCAGATTCTGAGACTTGAACCTAGGCTGTTCATCTCAGACACTGTCACTACACCACAAGAGCTTCAGTGTTTGTCCTGATAAACTGGAAAGTATTTATCCCTCAATTAATGTCACTGCATCAGACTATTGGGCCATTATTAATTGTCATTTCTCAGAACTTTCTACACATAATCTACTACTATTTTTCTGTGTAATTACATGTCAAGATTACATAACTCTGGTGATCTATTGTTTTCTATCAGTGACACAATGAACTATGGACTTGATGGTGCTCAGATGTAAAATGAAGATCAGGTCCCTGATTTTTTGGTCCCTGTCCTGTCCCAGTGGCAAAATAGGAACATAGGCTATTCAGCTTCTCAAGCCTGTTCTGCTATTCAGTGAGATCATGACTGATCTGTCGCCTAACTCCACTAGCTGCCTTTAGCCCATTTCTCTTAATATTTTGGTTAACAAAAATTTATCTATCTCGGATTTAAAATTAACAACTGATCATCTATCCACTGTTGTTTGTGGAAGAGAGTTTCAAACACCTGCCACCCTTTGTGTGTAGAGGCGCTTCCCAATATCTCTCCTGACAGTCTGGCCCCAATTCTCAGACTATGTCCCCTAGTTCTAGAATCCCCAACTAATGGAAATAGTTTATCTTGGTCTACCCTGTCTTTTTCTATTAATATCTTGAAGACTTTAATCGCATCACCCCATAACCATCTAAATTCTAGAGAAAACAGGCCTAATTTGTATAACCTGTCCTCACAGTTAACCCCTGAAGTTCGGGTATCATGTCTAAAATGTCTACTCCCTCAATGCATGTGCCCTCTCTGGCAGCATAGTGACATCAGATCAAACCAGTGGTTTTGCCTGTAGCCCCTGGAACCACCGTCCAATGAGCTGATATTCCCAAACCATGTTGCAGTTGCAGCTCGTTAATTAACTGTCCCAGTTACTTGCAGCTGAATCTAAACATTTAGTTCAAAACCGTGGCTTGTCTCAGTAGTAGCTGAAATGTGTGTGTGCGTTGGTATATAATCTCAACATTGATCATGTTTATTTCTGTTTCCTTAGATTGGATGACATTCCACCAGGGTTATCTTTGTTGCCTGATAACATCCTGCAGGTTCTCAGGCAGCAGCAGTTGCAATGTATGCAAAAACTGTCAGATGGCCTAGAGGATGAACAACAAGCGCTGGCACTCATTCTGGTCAAATTCCTCATTATCATCTGCAGGTATAGTTGCTGTTTTAATTATGTGTAATAGATGACCTAGAGACCAGAAAGGGGACTACAGAAAGCTAAGAATACGAGTGTTCTGATAAAAGGTTACAAACCCGAATTGTATAACTCTGTTCCTCCACAGATGCTGAGTGTTTCCAACATTTTCTGTTTTTATTTAAGATTTTCAACTGCTGCAATAATCTTTTTACCATGTGCTTATTGAACTGTAGTGTTGTCCTTAAGGAAGAATATCCCGGTGGACAGTGAAATCCCTGTTTCACTCGATAATGTGTATCAATGATGCTGAAGAAATAGTCAGTCTCTCTCTTTCTCTCACTCTGCTCCCTTGCAGTGTTGACTGTTTACTTAGAAACAGTTACACAGTTGATCTCAGGAGTAGCAGATATACTGGTGCACTAGTATATAATCTCAGAAAGAACCTTCACTGAGTCTTGGTTTGTTTGGACTATGTATTGGATGGGATAGAGAGAGAGAAAGAAGACACAGCAGCTGAGTGCCACTTTGACCTCAACTAATACCTATACGTGTGTGGGAAAGGCTAACTGCTGAGCAATCACTAACCTCGGCATTTTAGTTTATCTTTACTTCTCTCCATCCTAATGTTTTAGCTGGCCAGTGGTAAGCATCTATCACTGTCCTGGCTGATTTAATTAACTTACTCGGGAAATTTCTTCATTCGTTGCCATCAACTTGAATTTATATAGCACCATTAACATGATAAAGTATCTGAACATGTTTTATGGGAACAATATCAGACAAAATTTGACACTGATCCTAATAAAGAGCTATTCGGTGAGGTTGATCAAACGTAGGCTTTAAGGATTGCCATAGAGGAAGGAGAGATTAGATGTAGCGAGAATCTGGGAAGGGTATTTAGATCTTCAGGCCCAAGTGGCTGAAGGCGTGACCTTTAGTTACGAGACAAAGGAATGGGAGACTGTAATGGAGCTAAGAATTAAAGGAGTGCTGAGGTCCCAGGGGTTGGTGGGACTGGAGGAAGTTACAGCGTGGAAGGTGCAAGATGAGTGAGGAATCTGAATTTGCCAATCAGAATTTTAAATTCAAAGCTGCACTGGACATTTTCTAATTGCAAGGCTCTGGTTTTGCAACAAATAAACTCATTGATCCATTTGATAACCCAATAATTTAGTCTGTAGGCTTAGTTCCTGTTATTTATGCATGATCTTTGGTTATTTCTGTTTTGTTTGAGTTTTATTAGAACAGCATAAATTATAATTTGGATCATTCCATTTGTTTCCAAGGAATTTGGCTAATGTCGAGGAGATTGGAACCTGCTCCTATATTAATCATGTTATTACTATGGCTACAGTTTACATTCAACAGGTAAGTGATGATGATAAACTTACCTTTTAGCATTTTCACAATTAATTTGTAGCTGTAAATAGTTCCATTATTCTACAACAACGCATCTGTGTGTAAGTTGAGACAAAAATGTAATTTATTAGCAAAAGAACTTTTGAGATTAATTTTTTTGTCGGCTTGAACTAGTTTCCATGCACGTCCCACTCCTGATTCTTTTCCTTTTGTCTTCGGGAGTCGATAGGCCAGACTGCTCCTTCTGTACTGCAAGCATTTGCGAAACTAAACCTTTCTATGTGATACTCGGGTTTGGAGACAATTATGGCAAAGCATTCTTTAATGCAATAGCAGATTTGTGAAATTGTCAAATTATTGAAGACAAAATGTTCTTTAAATTCGTTAAAAAAAAGTCTGCCTAGAATTATAAATTTCTGATGAGGAATTGTCATTCTTTGTTCAATTAAAAAAGCAAATCCTGAAATTGAAATAACAGATGTCTAATAGCTAATATTTGATGAAGTTTCTTACGGTAATATGATGTTTTGTTGCAGTGTTTGTAGGAGTTGTCAACAAACACTAAACACCAGTCTAGCGAAATTGGAGTTTCTTTAAACATGAAAGCAGAATATTGCAGATACTGGAAATCTAAAATAAAAAATGAGGAACTGTTGGGAATACTCAGCAGGTTTGGCAACATTGGTGGGGAGAGAAAAACAGAGTTAAAGTTTCAGACTAATGATGACCCTTTGTCAATCAAGTGTTATCATAGTCCTGAAATGCTACTGTTTTGTTCCACAGATGCTTCCTGACTTGTTCAGTTTTTCCAGCACTTTTTTTATTGAAAGCTTTTTAAAATATTGGTAACCTGCTGTGTTTGATGTTTTCCTTAATTTTCTTTTATTGCAAGTTAAAAAGCAAGACCAAAGAAAAGGAAATGGCAGATCTAACTCCAGCTGAAGATTTTGCAAGACATGCGCTTACCTTTTGTGAGAGTTTATATGACCCGTATCGAAACTGGAGACACCGAGCAGCTGGGTAAGTGGTTCAAAATTCCAAAATAAACAAAGCTAAGCTGGATTTATTTCTAAACTTTCTTCTTATTTTAAAATGTGCTATTTTTGAGCTTAATGCATAGGAAGACCTTATAAGGTATATATTCAATTACCATTTGTGCATAGTTAACAATGAGCGTCAATAGCCTCATCGTTATTTTGACAGCAAATTCTGTCTTAGTGTGTTTAATTCATTATAATAAAGAAGTCCCCCTAGGCCTCCCTCAACAATAAATAAATGTTTCTGCTGTGGTGAAAATGGTGAATATTTGTATGTGGCTTTTAGTTTTGTTAAGCCAAGTAGCAATTTATTATGTTTTTCCATAATGTGCTCTTCCGACTTGAAAGAGCAGAGCTGAGTTTTGTCAGACAGGCATCCTGTTGGCATTTTCTGTGTCATCTGGAACACATCGAGGGACAGCCTTGAAAGTGCTTTGTTGGATTTATCTGTACCGATTTAAAATCGCACTGATTATGGATATCTCTAGCAACAACTTACATTTATACGGCTCCTTTAATTTAGCAAAATGTCAGAAATAATCTAACAGTGAGCCGCATTAGGAGATATTAAGACAAGTTATTTAAAAGCTTGGTAAAAGAGGGATTTTTAAGGAATGCCCTGTTATAGGAAAGATAGATGGAGAAGTTTTGAATAGGAATTCCTGCTACACAGTTGAAGACATGGCCATTGATGTTGAGGAAAAGTTCAGGAGGCCAGAGTTGAAAAATTACAGCGTTCTTAGACAGTTGGAACGGGTCAAAGATGGGTCGGGCATGGTCATGGAAGGATTTGAACCAAAGAGGACAATTTGAAATTTGGGTCATTGGTGAACCGGTACCCAATGTAGGTCAATGAGCAGGTGGTAGATTAGGATTTCATGCAAATTAAAATACGAGAAACAAAGTTATGGATGAACAGTGTCATATTGAAATTGAATTAAATGTGATAAAATTGCAGCTAATTAATTCTGTTTAAGAGACTTCAAAATAATTATATCCTTTTAACACTGTTTAGAGATTATAATGGAATCAAAGAACTGGAAGATTGCAAATGTCACATGCCTGTTCAAAACAATGAGACATTGGTAATACAAGAATTGGCATTAGAATCAATTTTTTCCTCATATATATTCTTCCAATAGGATGTGAAACATGTCTGAACCAGTGCATTAATCACTTGGCATTACCTCTTGTATATGATTTATTTGCTTTTTTTTAGAAAGTGGTAGATTCTGCTTAGGTTAGGAGGTGAGATTTTCAGTTGAATCACAAAAGATTTAATTTCAGCTGGAGAAAGCAGGAGTGTGGTTTGAAAATGTTAGGATATTGTTCAATTAAAATGTATTTTTCATTTCTGTATTAATAATTGTGCAGCAGGGCATTCATTATCATTTTTGTCAATGATATTGTAAGAGGAACAAGTGATTAATTACTATACTTATAAAATCTTAATAGAGGCAAATGAAAATTGTTCTATGGTGTTCAGCTGTGTTAAATTATAATTGCCCTTTGGCTAACATTCGTGCTCAATATTTTTAAAGGTCTTTTATTATGTGCATAAATTCTTGTCAAATTACAGTCTATAGTCCCAAACACATTAACGATCTAAGATCCAAATACACTCATTACTTGAGGTGTATTGTGCGATTTGGTAAATTAAAAGTTACAGGCATGTATTTTAAGTAACAGTTATCAAAGTTGGATCTTGCACGAATACCTGTGCTTATAGTCTGTATGTGTCAGAAGTATTCATTGCAAATACAACCTGTAATTTTTCTGTAGGAAAATTGTCATTTGGGCTTAGAATTAAGTGTGTGAACTTGAAAGGTAAGTGTTTTTAAGGACATCTGTGACTTCAATTTTCAGATTTCTATACTTTTTTAATGGAGTATGGACTAGATGAATAATCTTGATTTGAACCTTTACTTCATGAAAGCAAAGTATAAACAATGTTTTGGGAACAACAGCACTGACCAATTAAGACTCAGCCTTGGACACTAGGAAGGCAAAGTATCTGGTGACATGGTGACTGTCATTTGATTGAAATGGTACCTAATTAAAAACTTACAGGAACTTCCTTTTTTCCTACCATTTGACAAAGAAATAGAAGGAACTCTGAAAGTGTGTTGACTCAGCTGCAGAAAGCCTTTCTGTTCTACTTGTTTCACCTTTTAGCCAGTTATAATTCTTGACCAATTAAGTTGTTGGGATTTTGCTTTTATACATGTGAACTGTGTGCTGATGTGTGAAAATAATTTCTCAATTCTTTGATTGAGACAAGCTACTTAATGTCTTTCAATGAATACCATAATCTGTTTCTTTTTGACATACAAGTACTTTTTGTTCCACTTCAGCTGCACTTTAAATTGATGACTTGCAACTGACTTTGGCTAGCAGTATGTTTGAATCTGACTTGGACCATTGAAGTACAAACTCAGTCAGAATTTATACAAACAATTTGGATGAGGATTTAGGAGGCATGATTAGTACATTTGTGGATGGCACCAAAATTGGTGGTACAGTTGACGGTGAAGAAGGCTGTCTAAGATTACAAAGGGATCTTGGTCATTTGGGCCAGTGGGCTGAGGAGTGGCAGATGGAGTTTGATTTGGATAAATGTGAAGTATTGCATTTTGGCAAAACAAACAACGGTACGACTTATAGAGTTAATGGTAGCGCCCTGGGTAGTATTGTTGAACAGAGAGACCAAGGGGTCCAGGTACATAGATCTTTGAAAATTGCGTCAGACCATTGAGTATAAAAGTTGGGAGGCCATGCCGAGGTTGTATAGGATGTTGGTGAGGCCAGTTTTAGAGTATTGTGTACAATTCTCATTGCTCTGCTATAGGAAGGATATTATTGAATTGGAGAGGGTTCAGAAAGATTTACCAGGATGTTGCTGGGACTGGTGGGTTTGAGTTATAAGGAGAGGCTGGATAGGTTTGGACTTTTTTTCCACTGGACCCTAGGAGGTTGAGGGGGTGACCTTAAAGAGGTTTATAAAATCTTGAGGGGTGTAGATAAGGTGAATAGCAAATGTCTTTTCCCTAGAGTGGGGAGTTAAAAACTAGGAGGCATATTTTTAAGATGAGAGGACATATTTAAAAGGGACCTGAGGGGCAACTTTTTCACACAAGGTATGGTTTTTATGTGGAATGAACTGCCAGAGCAAGTGATAGATGCAGGTACAGTTACAACATTTAAAAAGACATTTTGATTGATGCATGAATAGGAAAGGTTTAGAGGGATATTGACCAAATGCAGGAGAGTGGGACTAGTTTAGTTTGGGAACCTTGGTTGCACGAACGAGTTGGACCGAAGGGTCTGCATCTAAGACTCAAAGTAAAGCTGCCATTTGAAATGAGTTTAAGGCAGCCCACAATTCCGAACAAGTTGGAGTCTTACGCCTTGGGTAGTAAATACGATTGCTGTGTAAAACAAAATTATTCATGCTGGAGTGGGATTGTGACAGCATGCTGGTGTTCGTCTAAGTGATCCCTACAGTGTTAGAATTCTCGTCCATAATTACCTATGATATGACCTTTAAATTTCAAGTTGGTCATATGTTGAGATGAGGTTATTTTCCCTACAGTGGGGTGAGTGGTTTGTGTGAAATAGAAGGCCTCTCATCGATGAGCTAAGGGATATCTTATCCACTTTGGAAACCCCTTTTTGGAATGTGGAATGTGGAGAGGTATCTGGAAAGTGCAGGGAAAGAATGTTTAAGAGTTCACACGAAAGGTCACTGATGCAGTGAGGTTGAGCATAAAAATAACCTTACTTGCCCCAAGTAAAATGAAGGACCATGGCTATCTATTGTAGGTTTTTTTTCAGACAACTAGTTTGCAGTGTACAAAATCAGGGCTGTAGGAATGCAGCTATTTGATAGATGTTTCCAAGGGCCAGCACAGGCACAAGAATGACCACCCTTTTATGCTTAACTTTTTCATAATTTTTATTGTGATTCGATAATTCATGGTCTAAAATTAACTGACAATAGATGAAAGTACTTGAAAGAAGTGAATCCTATTGATTGTTAAAACAAAACTGCTTTTGTAAAATGTTACCTCCAAACTGATATCTTTACATATTCCACATTCCAAAAATGGGTTTTCAAACAGGATAAGATATTCCTTAGCTCATTGATGAGAGGCCTTCTATTTCACACAAACCACTCACCCCACTTGAAAGTTGAATAAAAGAAATAAGTAATCTATAATAAAAATGAAGAACAGTGAGGAAACCTGAAACAAAAACAGTAAGTGCTGGAGAAACTCAGCAGGTTTGGCAGCTCCTATAAAGCAAAACACACAGTTTCGAGTCCAATGACACCCCCCATCAGATTTTGTTACAGATAAATCGTTTGTTTTTAAAAAAATTCTAGTCCATTGAATGTATTAATATCCCATAGCCTTTCTGCACCTCAGTTATATCTCCCACCTTAGCTTCGCTGTGATGAGTTATGATGTGTTTCTGGAGGCCTTAATGTTTTATTGTAATGTACATTATCTTGACAGATTTGTCTGGTGTTCCTCTTCTCCCATTGTGGTATTGTTTCATTCTGGGTTGTGTTTCCCCAGGTGGCACCAATCTGGTGGTATCTTCCCAACAAAAAATGCTTTGAACAACTGGGCAGTTCATCTCATTACTGTGCACCCACATATTTAACTGCTGGTATCAATGGATGGTGACCAGGACTGGGAATTGTGACATGTTCAACCTCCTCTAATTTGGAGAATTTGAGACAAAATGGAGAAAACATGTTACTCAAGCAGAGATTCATTATTTCAGCAACCCTTGTAAGTTTGTTGCCAATTATAATACTCTCTCTCGTTCTTTTCTAGTGAAGTAGTCAGTACTGTGGAGAAGAGCAGACAGAAGTACAAAGCAGCTAGCCTAACTGTGGAGTTTGTCCCTTTCTTTTATCGTAAGTGTGATGTGTTCCTTTTTAATTATATAGTGTACTTTTAGTTTTGTATCTGTGAATTATTTTCCCCTGATGTCTTCTGCTCCAATCCCCACCCACCCACTCTCCTCTCCCCACCCCAAAATAGTTGTGTAACCCCTATAAAGATAGGATTGTGCTGTTTTTTGCTAAACAATGGCATGTTGGAGCAGTAAAAGGAGTACTCCTTTGTTCTCCATGCATTATTCCCTGGCTGCGGGTGGCTGCGTAACTTGTTGACTGATTTGGAAGGCTCATTTCTACAAATGTGTGAAAAATACTACGATTCGTCCAGTTGCTTTATGTTCCCCTGTTTTGTAGGGAAGTACAATGAGAAATTCAGTGTGTGCATTGCACATACGTATGCAAATATTGCAAATATTGAACGCAAAGGGTTAGAGATCATACAAAAGCTATACAGAGTCCTGCTTACACTGCACCTGGAGTATTGTGCAGTTTTTGAGCACCACATCCTGGGTGAAGTATATTGACTTTGGAGGTAATGTGTCTTAAGTTTAGTAGTATGGTGCTTTTCAAAAATTTGTTCACTGAATGTTTGTATCACTGACAGCTTTTATTGCCCAGCTTGGTGCCATGGAGAAGGTGGTGAGCTGCCTTCTTGAACTGTTGCAGCCCAGGTGTGGCAGGTGTACCCTTGGTTCTGTCAAGAAGGATGTTCCAGAATTTTGACTCTGCAACAGTAAAGGAATGATAATTTCATCGTTGTGGCTTGGAGAGGAATTTGCAGGTGATGGTGTTCCTAAGGATCTGCTGCCATTGTCCTTTGACGTTTTGGAGGTTAAGGGTTTGGGAGGTGATGTTGAATGAGCCCAAGTGAGTTGTAGCGCATCAGAACCTTTTGGTCGTGAGGAGCGATTTCACAAAGCAGCGTTGTGTACAGTATATAGAAATGAGAGATGAGGAAGGAATGATTGGACCAAAGATTGAAGGACATTGAAGAGAACTGATCGGGTACTATTTGGGGAACATAGGACACAGACTCATAGTTATAAATATAGAACGAGGCCTTTCAAGAATAATGTTAGGAGACACTTTTGTAGAAGTTTGGAAACCTTCTGCAAAAGAAAAATGACACTGCGTGGATTAATTTTAAATTTGCGATTTTAGTTAACCAAACATAGGGTAAATGGAGTTGGGTTGCAGATCAGCCACCAACTCATTAACTAATGGAAAAACTTTAGAAGCTAAATGGTCTATTCCCAGTTCTATGTTCCTATGCCATGAGGCGGCCGATTTAAAGTATCTTAATTCTTTCCGAATATGGGGTGCTTCGGGCAGATTTTGTTAATGCAGATGTGAAATGGGAGAAAGATGAATTTGGACATTTGCGGTTTTGTTCTCTGAAGTGTACTGTTGATTCTGGCTAAGTGTGGCAGTGGGTTGTAGATGAAGAGTGATTGATGATGCAAAACTTCATAATGTTTAAAATATATATGCAAACATTCATTCCTACAAAGTAGGAGCAGGAGTAGGCTGTTTGGCCTCTTGGACCTGCTCTGTCATTCAATAAGATCATGGTTGATCTGATTACTCTGCCTAACCTGATAGCCCTGATCTCATCCTTTTGCTTCTCAAGAATAGCTCTAATTCTGCAACAGAGTTATTGAAAAACCCTGTCTCAATGTATCTTAAGGAAGAGAGTTGTAAAGATTCTGATTTTTGAGAGAACAAATTTGTCTTCATGAATGACCCCTTACTTTCCAAAAGTGGCCCCAGTTCTATATCCTCCCAGAAGAGGAAATGCCCTTTCCACATCCAACCTGTCAAGAACCCTCAGAATTTTGTCAAGTAAGTCGCCACTTAATCGGTAAAATCCAGTGGGTGCAAGCTAAGCCTGTTCAATATTTCCTCCTAAGACAACTCGTCCATTCCAGGCATTAGTTTCACAAGCCTAATCTGAAATGCTTTCACAGAATTCATGACCTTCCATAAATGAGGAGACCAAATACTGCATAAATGAATACCCTGCATAAATGAAGCATAATTGCCTACTTTTGTATTCAATTTCCCTTGCAATAAAAGTTAATATCTGCTTGCTTTTCCTGTTTATGAGCTGTATCTGTAAACTAACTTTTTATAATGTTTGTACTGGGAGGCCAGATCCTCTACATGTTAGAGTTTTACAACTTATCACCATTTAGATAATATGCTTCTTTTTCATTCTTCCTGCCAAAATGAGCAATTTCACATTTTCCCATATTATACTCCATTTGCCAGTTCTTTGTCCAGTTATTTAAGTTATCTATATCCCCAACCACCTTATGTCATCACAACTTACTTTACAATGTACCTTCTTGTCAACAAATTTAACAGCCATATCTTTGGTCTGTTCATCCAACAGATTTATACAAATTATAAATTAAGGCCCCAGCTCTGATCCCTTTGACACTGCACTCATCATACCTTGCCGACCGGAAAAATGCTGATTTATGCCTACACTCTGTTTTCTGTTAGCCAGCCAATCTTCTATCTATGTCATATGCTACCCCCTACATCAAGAGCTTTTATTTTCAGCAGTAACCTTTGGGGTGGCTCCTTATCAAATGCTTCCAGGCAATTTAAATACAGTTTATCAACCAGATTCCCTTTATTCACAGCAAATGCTACTTTTCAGGGAACTGTTAACAGAGGTTAAACATAATTTCCCTTTCTCAAAACCATGTTGACTCTGCCTAATCACTTTGAACTTTTCCAAGTGCTCTGTTATCATGTCTTTAATCATGGTTTCTAACAGCTTGTCTGTGATGTTAAACTGGTGTATCTGTATTTTCCTTTTTTTCTGTATCCCTCCCTTCCTAAATAAAGGCATTATATTTGTTATTGTCCAAACTAAGGACTTGCCCATATTGAGGGAGTTTTGTAGAACTAAACATAATACATCAACTATTTCACTAGCCCCTTCTTTTAAGACCCAAGGGTAAAGTCTTATGACCTGGGGTCTTATGAGCACATAGCTCCAATAATTTGATTGGTATACCATTTTCCTGAGCTACATCTTCTGTTCCAGTTTCCTGAATTACAGCTGTTTCCAGGATGTGCTTTACATTCTCCATAGGGAAGGCCAATGGAAAGTTGCTTAATCTTGGTAGTAAAGGGACTTTACCTTCAAGATGGTTTAATGTTTCAAGTGAGTTGGTATTCATTGTGATAAGAGCTCAGAAACCTGATTTTACCCACAACCCCCTCCTTCTCTCCCATCCCTCACCCACACCATCACCTCCACCACGTGGCGCGTGCACTCACTCACTTGCTCTTAGTCGCTTGCGAGCTGTCTCACTGTCTTGCGCGCTCTCTCGCTGTCTGGCGCCGTCTCTATCTCTCTCTCGCGCCCGCCGTTTCGCGCTCAACAGCCCCCAACCCCACCACCTCTCTCTCTCTCCCTCCCCCCTGCCCCCCCTCGCCGTCCCCCTCTCCCCCTCGCCCTCCCCCTCGCCGTCCCCCTC